TCTTTTTTTTTTTTTTTTTTTTTTTTTTTTGGGTCCCCGGCCCACCTCCCCCCATCGCATCCAATCCCTCATTCTTGCGTATGTTTTGTGGTGCTTCCCCGTTCTGCAAACTACGAGAGGGACACCAGTGATTTCGCTTCGTGTTTCCTTTCCTTTTCTTTCCTTTCCTCTCCCCTCTCCCCGTCTCCTCCCCAACTCGCGACACGCAGTTGCATTTCTCAATGCCTGTGCTTGCTTGTTTGGGCCTATTGATATTCAACTGAGAGTCTCCGGGGCACGAGTGTGTTGGGGGATGGGGGAAACAAACTGGGCGAGACACAAACACACAAACGAAAAAAAAAAAAAAATCATATTCCCTGTTTTTTGCTTGGATCACTGCTGCTAAGAAATTTTGTTTTTGTTTTTTGTTTTTTCCCTTTTAGTGGTTTACGGTGGTGGTGCGCATCCTTTTACTTCTCAATTACAAAAAGAAAAAAATATATATTTTTATTTATAATATAATATATTTCCGGTGCTTTCTTGTGAGCAAGTGTGGCGATGTAAAAAGAGAGAGAAGGAGGGAGAAAGAAAAAGAAAAAACGATGCGGGGAGAAAACAGTCCAAGGGCTTCTGATAAACATTTTATTAAATAAAAAGTTTGGGGAATGTTCGCAATTGCAGTGAGCGCACGAATGGTGGCTGGTGTTGCCTCCCCTAACCCCTAACCCTCTGCAATACACATTCCAAGCTCCTCCCCATACACACACGCGTGCGAGTTCTTTCCTCATCTTTTAGTATTATTATTGTTATTTTGGCTTTTGGCTCACAAGAAGGTATTTTTGCGGCTCGAATAAAACTCCGTAAACGCAACCACATTTTGCTGAAACTCCACAGTGAAAAGATGAAGGGTAGAAACGTACTTCTTTTTGCCTTTGTGCTGCTGCTGAACTTGCATATCGTGCCTTTCGCCTCCGCACAATCCTCACCGTCGACGTCGGAGCACATTATTGTGTTCGGTGGCCCCAATTGGGAGTTCGTGGTGCAAAATAAATTGACGGAGCTAAAGGCAGCCCTCATCAAGGACATTGGACCCCAGTTGCTGCGCAAGTATGCCTTTTTGACCATCATCAACGTGTCATCTGTGGAATTCAATAAAAATCTGAGGGTCCACGTCACCGTGCTGCAGGCTTTGTTAAGTAAGGGTCCCAGCTCACGTCTCCTGCACCTCTGGCCACCGGACGAAGCCAATTCTATGATCACTCAGGGCGAATTCAGCAACACACTGGCACTCTATCCAGGTCCGGAAAGGGCAACTGTCATCAGTGTGCAAATTCCCACCTTCAGTAAGAATATAAAGGTCTATGAAGATGTGTTAAGATCTTTATACTTCCTGGGAGGATGTACCTTCGTTGCTATGGCGTTTGGCCTCTTTGTATTGTTTGTGTGGATGTGCTGTCATTGCTGCTGCAGAAGTGATGAAGATGAAGATGATGAAGATGAAGATGAGTTGTATCATTTTAATCAAAATAAGTCCAAATATAGAAAATAGTTTTATAATTATTATTGAGTGTGTTTATGTGTTGCTTTAATTCTCACTGATTAAGCCATTTTTTTTTTCCTTTTTTTTTTTTTTTGCTTGATGATTTTTCAATCTCTGATTGCGTGGGTGGGGTATGTGCGGTTAAATTACCACAAATTTCGTTTTCTTCCACATGTATGCAAATAAATATATACGCCCCCGCGTGCCGCCGCATGCGAAACGTTTTTTTTTTTTTCCTTTTTTCTTCCCCCCCCCCCTCAACACTCCCCCCTATTAATTGTGTGGATCATTTTCTATACATACATATATACATTTAAAATACATGTATCTTGCATCACATGTGCATGCACATATGTACATGTGTATTTCAGCAGACGTATGAGTAAAAACTGTTCAACCAGCAAAGACCAACATGTTTTTCTTTCTGTTTTTTTTTTCCCCCCTTTTTTTTTTTCTTTTTACTTCTAATGAGACCCAATTTTTAGCTAAAGAGTTTTTTGAGCGCCTACGACGAGATGGTGAAAGGGAAACTGGTTCTTCTTTTTGCCGCCTTACTGTTTTTGACCGTCGCCATTCCCGTCTCCGCACAGCAGTCGACGTCCGAGCACCTCATTGTTTTTAATGGTTCCAACTGGGGCCCTGTGGTAAGCGGCAAGAAGACGGTTCTAGAAGCAGCCCTTGTGGACAGTATTACTCTCCAGTTGTTGCGCAAGTACGCCTTCAACACCACCGTCAACGTAACATCCCTTTCCGCCGATGGCGAACTGAAAGCCCAAGTCGAGGTGCTGCAGGTTGTGCTGAGTACCGCTCCCACCCCGGATCTTCAGGATGTTTGGGGGCCAGAGGAGGTGAACTCCATGATCACCCGATCAAACTTTCAGACAGTGCTGGCATTGTATCCTGGGCCTGGGAAGGCAGTCCTCGTAAGTGTCTATGTGCCTGAAAATGGAAAAAGTGACAGGGGACCCTCAATCATTTTTTGGAGCATGATTTTCATGGGATCTGTGGTGGGTGCGCTGATGCTCATCACATTTGCTGTTGTCGCCTGTTGCAGCTGCTGCGTTTATGCAAAGCGCTGAGTAATTGGGATGAAGCAAAAAAAAAAAAAAAAAGGGAACGAACTGATCAGGAATACGACCAACTCAATTGGACGATCCGATGAACAGAACCCCAATAAAAACAGGCAGATAAACAAGTAAATAATTGCCTCACCAGATGTATCTCACGAGAAAGTAGTCTATGCGTGTTTGTAGAAATATTTTGGTCTTTTTTTTTTCTTTTGTGTGCTTCTCCTTTTTCTTTTTTCTTTCCTATATTATTATTATTATGAATAACAAGCGGTTCCGCAGTGCGCGTGTTTTATTTTGTTTGTTTTGTTTTTCGAACTCGAGCTGAATGAATCACCTGGTTTTATTTTCGTTTGTGAAGAGTGCCCAATATATTTTTCCCCCCAATGTGCCATCGTGGTATTTTCTTTTTAGAATGCGAGCGCTTTGGACCAACACGCCTCTCCCCTCGAAACGGGAGGCGTGGAAAAGGTGCTTTTTAGCATCTTTCTCTCTTTTTTTTTTTTTTTCTAATTTTTAATTTCCCAGCGAATGACGGTTCACCAAGAAGGACGTTCCCCCTCGAATTCCTTCCGGTGCCGGAGTTATTTTTTAATTATGAATATGTTGCCATAAACTTAAAAAAGGAGTGATTCCTATGGCGCACCTTTCCCCCGATCAAAAGGTCTGGAGTGAAGAGGGAAAATGCATTTTGTCGAGGTTGGGACGTTGGTTGTTGTTCTTGCCTTTCTTGGGTGGCGAGAAGGTTTGCTCCGCTCTTTCTTTTGCAGTCGCTGCTGTTTCTCTTTTTTTCTTTTTTTTTTAGCGGGTACAAAAGGGTTCGCCATCGCGAAAACCCTCGCGGCGGCGCGTTTTCATTTTCAATAGGAAGGAATGGGGCCGGAGAAGCGAAACCCACGACGATTGCCAGGGCACGTTTAGGAGCTTGTGAAAAGAATGATCACGGGAGAGCTGGCTAGCTTAATTAATGTATGTGTATATCCTGATAAATGAATGCATTCTTTATGATACTTTCTACCGTATGAATCTTTTGGGAAGAACGCGACTTTGTAGGTGCCGGGAACCGATAGAGGCCGGATAATATTTGCTTTTATTTTTTACAGACACACAGCCAGATAAGTTTAAGGAAATGACTTTGGTTCCCTACACACCCTCCGAGTGGTGTGATATTGGCGCCCGTCTCTGGGAAATGGTGTGCCAATGTGGCGAGACCCAGGTGCAGTTGACGTTTATTAATGGTAACCAGATGTCGGATGAGACGTTAACTGTGGCCCCATCATCGACAGGCTTATGCTTGTTCCATGGACCTGTCTCTAAAGCATGGCAGGATTCTACTATCATTGGACATATTGCGAACCTACGGGCGCCTCAGATCCCTAATTTTGAGACAAAAGCGCTCCTGCCCGCTATGGGGGGCATTCCGGGAGTTGGGGCACCAACAAGGGCTCATCACTGCTGAAAGGGAGCGCCTGAATTTTGATTACGCGAACGCCGTCGCGGACGTGCAGAATCGAAATGCTCAGCTTAACTCGCAGTTTCAGGAGGCGCAAATTAACCTATTGGTAAGGGAATCCAATATCGCCGGGGCCGGCAACCAGGTCCTAGAACTACGACAGCAGTTGGAGGCCGATCGCGCCCAATTACGGGAGCGCGAATTCAACTTGGGAGTCCTCAATGCTCAACTCCCTGAACGGGAGGCACGCCTTAACGCACTACAAACCGCGCGGGATGCGGAGACGGCTGGGCGGGACGAGTCCCCCGCTACTCGACACGTTGCCAACGATAGCGTAACTACACTACCGCATCAAACGGATATCTTGATGGCTGGAGGAGTGCCTAGCAGCGCGGCCCGACACAGCTCGGCGGCTTACAGACGCCCTCACGGCAATGTTGGGAGACCACATTTCCACCCCTCCACGCCGTTGCCCTCCCGCACTTCTCCCCTGGACGCCCGATTACCCATGGAAGAGGACCGCAGTTTCTGCGCATTCGACGTCACTACGTGGCCCTCGCGTGTATGGAATGAGGGCGCCTCCGGAGTCATTATCGACCTCCGGTGCGCACACCAATGCCGGCAACAGGACGACGAGCAGGTTAAACTTGCCTTTGACAATTTGGTCGAGTGGATCAGCGCGCCGGAAGTCCTGCAGGATCCCACCGATCGCTTCATGAATTTGGGGAGGTCCCTACTGAATACATTCCGGATGCAGCTCACAATTGCATCCGATCCCGGCATCCGGCTTTCCAAACCGCGCGCCCGTCTACACACTGCTGTTCACCAGACGGACGCTTATGCGAGGGCAGCCCAGCTTTTCGTCGATCGGCGAGAAACCCAACGCACTGTGCGATGCCAACGTTGTCATATCTTTGGACACGAGGCATCTACATGCAATGTGCGCCCCAGAGGGAATTACTCACAATACAGGCGCCCATCAAAAAACGGCAGAGGGGCTG